ATTCCATTGATCTGTCCTTATGCTGGTACCGCACTGTCTTGATTACCCTTGCCATGTAGTAAAAGTTTTGGAATGGGGAAGTGTGAGTCTACCTGCTTTGTTCTTCTCTCCCAAGGTTGTTTTGTTTGGGTCCTGTCTTAGTTATCCAGTGCTGCTATAACAGAAATATCACAAGTGGCTGGCTTTAACAAACAGAAGTTTATTTTCTTATAGTTTAGGAGGCTAGAAGTCCAAATTTAGGGTACAGTCTCTAGGGAAAGGCTTTCTCTCTCCCTGTTGGCTCTGGAGGAAGGTCCTTGTCTCTTTTGAGCCTCTCCTCCTGGGAAGTCTTCCTGTGGCTTCACATCTCTCTTTCCCCATCTCAGCTTGCCTAATCTGCTCTTTTTATCTCTTGTAAGAGATTAACTCAAGACACTGTCCTGGATTGAATTATGTCCCACCAAAATATGTGTCAACTTGGCTAGGCCATGATTCCCAGTATTGTGTGGTTGCCCTCCATTTTGTAATTTGATGTAATCTTCCTGTGTTGTAAATCCTAATCTCTGTGGTTAGTGAGGCAATATTAGATTATTTAAAGAAGATTCAGATGAGGTACAATACTCTTACTCAGGTCACATCCTTAATCAGATGTAAAGGAAGTTTCCCTGGGATGTGGCCTGCATCACCTGTTATCTTAGAAGAAATACAAGGAGAGAAAAGTGAGCAGAAGGATAGGGACCTCATGCCACCAAGAAAGAAGCACTGGAAGCAGAGCATGTCGTTTGGACCCAGGGTCCCTGCACTGAGAAGCTCTTAGACCAGGGGAAGATTGATGACAAGGACCTTTCCCCAGAGCCCACAGAGAAAGAAAGCCTTCCCCGGGAGTTGGCACCCTGAATTCGAACTTCTAGCCTCCTAGACAGTGAGAGAATAAATTTCTGTTTGTTAAAGCCATCCACTTGCAGTATTTCTGTTATAGCAGCACTAGATAACTAAGACACACACCCTATACTAATCCTGCCTCATTAACATAACAGAAAACTCATTCCCAAATGGGATTATAACTACAAGCTTAGAGGTTAGGATTTACAACACGTATTTTGGGGGGACACAGTTCAATCCATAGCAGGTCCCTTGCAATTCCATATGAATTTTATAAAATCAGCTTGTCATTTTCTACAAAGAAGTCAGCTGGGAATCTGATAGGGATTGCATTGCATCTGTACATTAATTTGGAGAGTATTGCCAAGTTAACAATGCAAATCTTTTGATCCATGAATATGAGTTGTCTTCTAGTATTTTCTTCTAATACTTTTATGGTTTTAATTTTTATATTTAAATGTTTTATCTTTCTGGAATTTATTTTTGTGCAGGGTGAGAAGTTGAAATCTAAGGTTTCTCTTATCCAGATGGACAGTCTCTTGTCCCAACATCATTGCTTACGTAATCCACCCTTTTCCGATTGATTTGAAATGCTACCTTTACCATACCATATACAGAATTTTTATACATAAATTAACTCATTTTTTAGTTCACTGTCAGTTTCTTGCTCCTTTGCTAGTACCACATTATTTCAATTACTGTAGCTTTTTAATAATTTTGAAACCTAGTAGGCCAAAGTTCACTTCTTCCCCATTATTCCCTTTTTTCAAAATTATCTTGTCTGTCTTCTGCTTTTACTCTTCCAGATCCTCTTTAGTATCAAGTTGTCAAATTTACTATGTTCCCTCTAAATTCTCTTGGTATTTTAATTGGCATGACAGATCTGGTTTTAATTATTTCTTTCTTCTTTTGACCAAAGTTTTGTGTTCTCATCTTCCTTTATTACTTGAAGTTTAAAATTATGACCTATCTGCTCCCTAACTTTAATGATGTTTTTCGTGTTTCTTGCTTCAGTTGTTTTTTTGCCTATCTTTTACTTTTGCTTCTAATATGGTGTAGCAGAGATGATCTCATCTAAAACTGTCAGCAGCGTTGAGATCATTTTTAAAACCAACTTTGGAGAGCCAGACATTTTCAGGGCTGTGTTCTTTCTCACACAGCTCTGTGGTGTATTCTTCTCCCACCTGGGATTGAGTTTAAGGCACTTGTCTACCAATTACATAGCTGCCATTATCGCTAGAATCATTATTATTCTCCACCTAACTGAATTCTTCAACAGGTGAATAAGTATGTTTGGGGAGTTACGATATTAACCTCAATTGATAAGGCATGCATTTTAAGTAAAATAAATAAGTTAGTTGCACAGTTACAAGGTGGGGAAATTTTATTTGATAATACTGGTGAGCCAGTCATGTTTTGAAAACAAAAACAATAAACAAATGACCTGATGTTTAAGTTAATTGCAAACTCTGTATGAGTTACGATCCCTGTTGAAAATAACAAAGAATGTACTTCAGGTAGCATTGCAGGAAGTATGACATCTGGATTAAGAAGGTAATAGCTCCAGCTGTGCTGATCAAACCGTATTTATAGTTTTGTGCACATATTTTGTGCCAGGGACTAAGCTAGGTGCTCAGATAGAAAATCGAGAGACATAGCCCACTTACAGTAGATAACTAAAAATAAAGAATAACAGGTTTTATGAAAATCCAGAAGAGGGGCATCTAATACCTGGACTGCAGAGTCTGGGGACAGCTTTTAAGGTAGAGGTGACACACAGAGTATACATGGACTTTGAGGTAGAACTATGGCGCTCTCTATCTATAGAACTTTATACAGATTCTGTCTCCTCACTCATCTCAATGTCTTCGTGTGTAAAACAGTTAGTAATAATCTGTTTCACACTTTTTTGTAAGCATTAATGCAATGGTGTATATGTGGGAAGGAAGCTCCTGGAGTAGAGAGTATGGCACATGGCAATCAGTCAGTAAATTGTATGGAATGTGTCCATTTTGAAGTGCTGGTAGGAGCTGGCCCAGCAGAGAATGGCATTACCAGCAGAAGGAAGGGTGTGCACCAAAGCTGGGGTGGTTGAACTGGAACCTTTCTGGAACTGCAAATATTTAATCTAGTTGCAGAGTAGGGTACATGTAGGGGCGTAGCTGAAGATGAAGCTGAGAAGGGAGGCAGAGGTAAGATTTTCAAATGCCTCGTTGAGGAGTTTGAGAGCTATTCAGAAAGTGTTATTGAGTCCTTGAAGGCCTTAAGTAGGTGAGTGCCCAAAATAGTTTTACCAGTTAAAAGACTGGTTTGTTACAGACATGGGGAGGGGCAAGGAAACTATTTGAGGCAGGATATCCAGTTAGAGCAGTGGTGATCAGCCCAGCTGTACATTGGAACCATGTGGACAACTTTTAACAATCTGATGCCCGGGTTCACCCTACATCAATTATATCAGCAGCCCAGGGATCAGACGTAGACATTGGTGTTTTTTTTTATTGCTCGCTAGGTGATTCCAGTGTTCAACCACAGTTGTGAACTGCTGACTTAGAGGGTAACTTTGTTCACGCCAGAACTGATGAAGTTCCAAATTAAACAAATGCAGGGGCACAAAGGAACCAAGTTAAGGAGAAAACAAGGAGGATATTGTGGTCAGTTGTATGAGGGAGGGGGTTGAGAGGCAAAGTTGAGGGAAGATTATTTCTGGTTTGGGTCACTGGGTGGCTGATGGTGATGATCATATGCCAATGCTTTGTCAAGACTCAGTCATATAACAAGACTGAGAACATGAAAGAGAAGCAGATTTGGGTACTAAGCCTTGCTGAGTGGATATGAGAAAGATCAAGAATTTGACTTGAAAACATGGAATTTTAGGGAGAATGGTCCATGATGGCAGATGGGCAGAAAGAAAGCTAATGGTATAGTTGAAACTCAGGAGGCAGAATAGATAATGGATGGGTGAGATTCCCGAGGAATCAGAAAGAGCCAAGCAGAGGTGAATGAATTAATTTATATGAGAATAAGGGGTATTTCCCCTCAAAGAGAAAAAAGTAAAAATTAAACCAGTGCTGATAAGTTCACAGGTTGAGGAAAAAGAGCTGTAATTTTACCTTACAGCCTAATTTACTTACTGCAGGAAACATGGGTATCTGCTGAGAATTAGGAGATAAGAGAAGGGGATTAAGGAATGTGGTCAAGATCTGAAATACTCGAAGAAGGGAGCTGCTTGAGGAAGGAGACTAAGAAGGAGGTGTTTTTTCAGTCCTGCTCCTAGCTGTCTTCCCTGCCCCCTCAGGTCTCAATATTGGCCCTCTTCTCTTTCATATACATCCTGGGTAGACTCATTGGTTGTGTTCAGTTCCACTTGTTACACTCTAACAGAACCATTGATAAATTGAAGTTTGTCCAGAGGAGTAAGTAGATGATATGGAAATTTAGAAAATTATTGGTTGGTTTTTTGTTTTGTTTTGTTTTGTTGGTAGCACTGTGTTACCTTAATTTGAAATCTATTGTTAAAATTCACTTGAAAACACTATGTGGATCCCACAAACCCCAACATCAACAGCTAGTTAGCATCATGTTTTTTTTCCTCTAGTATTATAAAACCCCTAAAAACTACAAACTCAACATTTTTATAAACATATTAAATTTTATATAAAAATCCAGATACTGTTTGAAATTCTGTACTATAAATATACTATAAAGAAATTCAAATAGATGTTTATTTTACTTTTCATCATGTTAGACTCCATACATTTTTTTGTTCTGTGACATCTAATAAAGATCTAACTTGATTTCTCAATTATTTGATATAAGCTATGATATGTATTATGTATTCCCTAGATGTTTTCTTCTGTAAAATCAAACACCAGCAAAAAGCCCAGTAGTTAATTGTCAGATAGATTGGAACTGTTTGTTTTATAGATTGTTTATTCAGTAGAATTAATTGTATTTACTACAACAAAGCAGTCATTAGTATGGCTTTTCCGTAAGGTTTCTTGTTTAGAATTTGCTTCTTGAGATAATTGTAAATTATTTTAGCAAAACTGAGGTTGTGACTCTGGATGTGTAGATAGGCAGGTAGAAGGTGGCTATGATATATGACAGAACTCTAATCTAATGTTTCAATATCATTTCAGGTAACATTTCATTTGTCGCATTTCCAGCTCCCAACACCAACTCACCAACAAAGATTTTACCAAAAACCTTAGGACCAATAAATGTGAATGTTGGACCCCAAATGGTAAGAAAATCATCAAATCTTAGAGTTCAAAACTGTGCTTAGGCAATAATAATTTAAAATCTAATTATAGTGAAGATGTTAGGTCAGGTTTTCCAATTTCAGTTATCTCTGTTGCTTGTTTAAAAAGTTTTGTTTTTATGTGAATGTAACTGGTTAGGTAAGTCTTGAAGGGGAAAAAAAGAAGATGCTGGGCTCTTCAGTGTTTAATCTTCATGTATTTGAATCTGGATTCTGGACGTGTAATTAAGGTTTTTACTCCTTTTGTGAAGCTTTTCATGTTTTTAGTTGCGTAATTAAATTGATTTGAAATGTGTTATGTTTTATACTCTCCTTCTCTTTTCTTTTTCTTATAAAGAAACCTTTACCATCATAAACTATGTACCTAAGAGTTAATCTATATGATCTATATGTAGTGCTATTAATTTGAATTATTTCTGTGTTAAAGAACATTTTAGGGAAAAGTAGCATGCCAATTCATTTTTATCAGTAGCAGTAGACATAATGAATGAAAAATGGAAAATATTTAACTGTTTTTTTCTAAAGATTTTGGTTAATTATGCCAGAGCTTGATGTGTATAGAACTTTCAGAAAACCTTATTTAGTAGGGAAATAACTTTTACTGATAGTTTTCCAATTAAAAAAAATTCCATTTGGTAGGGCCATAACTGTGAACCTGGATTAAATACTTTATCCAAATACTTCAAGAAAAGTGCTCAATATATTCTAAAATCCTACCAGAGAACAAAAAGAATTATAACCTCCTAGGGAAAAAATTCAAACAGTACATTGGGCTTGTGTACAAAGTCAAGTGCCTTCATTAAGATTATCTAAAATATATGAAATGTAAAGCATGCTCTAAGCATGACATTGCTGAGAGCAGCAAAAAACAGAAATCAGGCTGTGAGGGTTTAATTTAGGGCAGGACAATGGAGAGTAGGAGAAAATAAGAAATTTGACGAGGTCGAAGAGCAGGGTCATTGTGAGGACGTGAGAGAGTTGGGAAGACAGGAATTAGAGTGAGAAAGTAGGATTTTAGACCAGATGCATTCACAAGAAAAATAGTTCTGGAAAATATTCGGGTTCAAGTCAGGTAATGGATTGCTGCGGTAGAGATAGAAGGTCCCCAGAGTTGAGGAAATCAAGGTACCGAGAGACTGTGGTGGTGAATGAATGATCACATAGAAGTCAGCCAGAGTGATGGCAAAAGTTGAAGTGGAAGAGAAAATTTGGAATGTATCAGAAGTTTTGATGAATGTGTTCCTTTGGCTTTCTATTAAACGTAGACATCCACCCACCTCTCTTAACATACATATTTACCCAAACGCTAATTTAAAGCTGGGCACAGTGGCGCACGCCTGTAGTCCCAGCTACTTGAGAGGCTGACACTGGGGGATCACTTGAGCCCAGGAGTTCTGGGCTATAGTGCGCTATGCCATATTTAAACGTGAACTGCTCCAAGACTTCACCTAATTTAAACGGCCTCAACTACCATTAGCAAAAGTGCTTAAACATTTAAACAATACCTTTTTGTTTTCAGTACGTTCTCATTTATGGAGCAGTAAGGATTTTTTTTAGGGGGGGTGCTGGGGGCCCATAATGTCAGCGCTGTGGACTGTGTTAAATTCAAAGTCACTTAGACAAAAATATCTCTTAACATACATAATGATTTCAGAAAGTCTTATATACGCACACTTCAGGCATAGAAAGCCATTTGGTCCGTCAAGAACTGTTAACCATCAGCAGAATCCAAACTAAAGATCCCCCACAATTTTCTGTCCGTATGTCAAGAATGTAATCTAGCACCAAACCTCACAGAGCCTTAAACTCAGGTAAATGTTCCCATTTCAAGGTAGCTCAGGGTCTGTTTTCAAACGTTTGCTAAGCATTTGCCCCTTGCCAGTCACTACAGTACGTGCAAATGAAATAAGGCACCTGCCTTTAAGTCAGTATTTTGAAATGTTTTTATGTAAACACCAAAATCAAACAAATATACCCCAGCTTTATGAGTCTAGTCCTTACAGTACTCCTCTACTTTGAAAGAATATTTTCTATGATATTTTTAGCAATACTGCCAGTGCTCAGATTTGAATTTCTCTTTTGGAAACATGTAACATTTCTTCCCAAAGGACTAATCTACAAAGAAAATTGTCAGTTTGAACCAATATGCATGTAAGTCATTACACAGTGCAGTTCTGACAATGGTTAAGTAGTCATGTAAACTGCTAACCCAATCACTGCAAGCCTCAGAATCAGCAAAACAGAGGTCAGAAGGAGAGGAGACTTGGGGCTCTCCCTTGAACCAGGCCAGCCCAAGACCTCACTTCATCTGTCTACTTCTGAGGTGCTTTTCACAGCTCTGAGTCCTTGGAGCAGGAATCAGAATTGTCTTTTTTATTCCCTAATTGTTGTAGGACCCCCATTTCTAGATTCTCTTTATCTTCTTTTCTGAACCCCTGCCCCTTCTTCCAAATAGCAACATGATTTTTGAAACATTTTGTTTAGTCAGAGAATTCTTGAACAAAACCTCACCCGTTTGATTTGCTCCTTACAGTCTTTTTTCTCTACCTACCCTTTAAACTTCGCATGTCTCTTGGAAGCTAAATCTTAACGGTAGATAGAAATTTCAAAAGGCTCCAAGGGGGAAAAAATAATATCTGAAGTTGTATTCTGTGACTGTAGAAACTAATTTAGCAGTAGCTGTTTTATTCTGGGGTTCTTACCCTCTCTTAGAGCTGTTTACTGGGATTTTGTACCTTCAACTCGTCAGATCCCTTGGCCCCATTGAGGCTGCAGGGTAGCAGATGTAAGTACTTTACGGAGAGTTTTCACATATGCAGAACAAAAACTCTGACAATGTTATCAGAATAGTGTCACTTTTGAACTTACAGAAGTGGAGTCAGGAAGCTGGTCATCTAAAGCTCCCATCAGCAGTCAAGTAAAAGAGTTATGTGCTGTCCACCTACCATATAGTAACAGACCTGTAATAAGTTATGCTAAAATGTTTCCCTCGGTATTGTCAGGTAGGACAAGAGGTCATACCTATTTAGGATAGATGGCTTGGGTCAAAAGCAGAATACTCAGACATTTGGAGTTACTTCTTTGATCTTATAGTCATCCACAGAACCAAACCTTCGAGGGAATAGAAAATGTGAAAAAGATTAAACTACTTTGAGTGTGTTCATATGTTTCTGACTTGTTGACGAGGACAAGTCAAGAGAACTAGAAATGGCAGGTGCTCATAATGGCAAGACTCAACTCTTCAGTCTGAGCAAGATTCTAAATGCTGACAAGTCTTAGGGTAGTAAAATTAGGAGGGATCTTAGACACTATGTAGTCCAGCTCCCTCAATTTATAGACGAGGTGACTGAGACCCAGAAACACCACGTGATTTACTGAAGGCAAACTAGAACTCTAGGGGGCTATTGTTATTCGGCGCCATCAAATTGATTTTGACTCATAGTGACCCGTGTGACAGAGTAGATGGTCTTATAGGATTTTCTTGACTATAATCTTAAAGGAAGCAGATCGCCAGGTCTTTCTCCCAGAGAGCCACTGGGTGGGTTCAAACTGCCGACCTTTCTGTTATCAGCCAAGCTCTTAACTGTTTGTGTCACCAGTACCCCTTTTTAGGGCAGACTAGACATTAAAAGGAGCCCTGGTGGTACAGTGGTTGAGCGCTCAGCTGCTAACTGGAAGGTCAGTGGTTGGAACCCATGAGCCGCTCCAAAGGAGAAAGATGTGACAGTCTGCTTCCGTAAAGATTACATCTTAGAAGCCCTGTGGGGCAGTTCTCCTCTGTCCTTTAGGGTTGCTAGGAGTCGGAATCAACTCGATGGCAACGGGGGAGACATTAAAAGATCTCACTAATCCAGAAGCATTAATCTGTAGTCTTTGGACCAATAAGATTTTCAAGGTTTGCGTTTTTCCCACTGATGAGGTCAGCGAATAGTTTGTTGTTTTTATTCTTAGATTCTCAAAGAGATCTCAAAGAAAGCTAAAAATTTCCCTTTTAGCGTCTGAGTTCAGAAGGTGAGATTCTAGCCTATTGGATTGTAATTTTACCTTGTAATCATGGTTATTTTATTTTAAAGGTTAAAAATCATATGTTTCTTGTAGTGAAAAACTGGAATTTTGTCAAAAAAGGAAATCCTTTAATATAGCACTTTATAATTATGTAGATTATTTTTCCCTTCAGAATACATAAGCTTTCTTGACTTTTCTTACTGTAGATGGCAGTAGTATATAAGGTATATTGATTGAGGGCAGAAAATCTCCAGAATGAGATTCAATTGCTCTATCATTTTCACAGCCTAACTGTAACCTATTGTCAGAGAATCCACATGATTACATTTAAATTACAAATGCCTTTTGTTTATTTGGGAGAAGCTCTGAAATTTAAAGTAAACGCTCACTTTTCTTAGTCAGATCAACTGAATATTAGACCTATGTTTTAACCTCTAGTTTTAATTAGGGATTTCAAAATTAAGGTTCAGGGTTATAAAGCATGTCCAGCTCATCACCCATAGAAACAAAATCGCCTGTACTCAGTGGTGATCACATCCTGTTGACTTTCCTTTGGTTTCATCTCTTCCAGCTCATGACTAGTATCCTAGTTTAGGAGTTCAGCGCGTCTCACGTGTTCTTCTGACTTGTTCTTTCAATTCAAGTCTCTCATCCTTCCAATTTATTCATTCAGGAAATGTTTATTAAGGGCTTACTATATAGCAGACCCTGTGCTAGGAGAAAGGCACAGGGTATTGGTAGAGATAGTAACTCTCAGATCAGCAAGGAAGAAGATCAACTAACATCTGATGTTGAGAAAGAAAATAAACAAGAACTACTAGTACACAGCAGTTCATTTCCACAGTCCTGCTCAATAAACATCCAGTTTTTCTCTACTTCCTGTTTTCCTTCTTTGTTCTTTTCTTTACCCTTTAAGTCAGGTAAAAATGAGGAGCTTGTAGGCTACTAATAACAAGCAGATATAGAAAAAGAATTCCCTAATTAATAACATTGCACAGGTAATACAGTCTGTTTCAAGGGTGAGTTAGAATGCTTAGGGTTGCTTTTTGGAGACTCTTGTTCTAGGAAGAGTAGACCAGACTGATCAGATACTCAAATTCTCTTTCTTAAGCTGTCAGTACCCAAGATCAGCATAATAGAGAATGATTGTATGAGGTAGTGATTGGTGAGAACTCTGCTCTTTATATTTTCTTACTCAATTTTATATAATCCCTCTAGCATATAGTGAGCAAAGAAACGACTTCATTTCAGTGTTTTAAAAGTTGAGTCTTCTGTCTCAGTTCAGTAAATATGTATTGTGCCTTCTTTATGAGCGTCTCCTAACACTGCTAAGCTTTGCAAAGAACACAATTGAGCAGGGCACTTTCTCTGCCCTTAAAGATCTTCCACTGAGAAAAGAGGAATGCGTGGTCACATTGTAGGGATGGCAAATAAGGTCACATAATAACTGTGTATAAATGTTTGTATGAGAAACTAGCTTGAGCTGTAAACTTTCACCTAAAGCACAATTTAAAAAAAAAAAAAAATCTTCCACTGACGTGAGGGCTGGGGGTGGGAGGTACTTTAGAAAGCCAAGCAGAATTTGATGAGAGGTACAAACACATTGTCTAGAAATTACGTTTTCTCATGAGGCAAACTTCTGAATGCCTTGTGTAATAATCCTGGGCATTTTGTAGACAATGACAATTCTCTGGACATCTGTCAGTATTATTGTCTTTTTTTATTATTAACTATAAAATTAACTTATTAAATTATTTCTTGCGTGTTTACAGGTGGTAATATCCACCTACCCTCAAACTGGCATAATCCCAAATGCAGATGATAAAGTTCTTAAATATTTAGTAAATGGCTAAACGTTGATTGGACTTTAATAACTAAGTTTGAACTGTTTGTATAATTCAGAGGTTATTGCTGGACTGTTTCCTTCAAATGCAAATTAAGAGATTGAAATGCATTCGAATCCTTCTTTTGGTTCCATATGGAACAAGTTAGCAACCAGCTTAAGGGGAATCATACATTATAGTTGAACCAATGAGTCAACTTAGACTCTGTGGCTCTAGAAACATGTTTCAGTCCCTCAGGGAGACAGGAATTCGCACTTTGATATGCAGTAGAAATAGAACGATTTCTTTTGTTTTAAGAGCTGTTTTTTTCTTTAAAATTATATATAGTTCATACAGATGCTTTTACTTCTTAATTGGAACTTGAAAGAAAAAAAAACTTACTATTGTGGAAAATTTCAAACCTATACAAAAATAGAGAAAACCTCTATGTACTCAGCAATTGCTTCAACAATTATCAACATAGGACCAATCTTGTTTCATTAATAACTCCCTTCTCTAAAATATGCTCTTATTTTTTATTTATTTATTTTTATTGTGCTTTAGGTGAAAGTTTACAGAGCAAATTAATTTCTCATTAAACAATTAATACACATATTGTTTCATGACGTTGGTTGCCAGTCCCACAACATTCTCTGCTCCTCAACCTCGGGTTCCCCATTTCCATTCATCCAGCTTTCCTGTGCCTTCCTGCCTTCTTGTCCTTGCCCCTGGGCTGGTGTGCCCATTTAGTCTCATATACATGGTTGAACTGCATGTGTCATTGTTTGTTTTAATCTTTGGCTGAAAGGTGAACCTCAGGAGTGACTTCAGTACTGCGTTAAAAGGATATCCGAGGTACCCTTATTTTTTTGATGAAAATACTTTAAAAGATAATACTAGGGTGCCACATTGGTAGTTTGTATTAACTATTACAAACATCTTTGGAAAAAAATACGTTCTGTTTACCAATGAAAATTGTAAGAAAACCTGAGAGTTTGGTAACACATATCAAGGAACCTTTTAAAAGTCCGTATTCACAGTTGCATTAGTTCCCTTTCTGGAGTCTATCCTTAGGAAATAAAAATTTAGGCCAAGATTATTGCACAAATGTGAGTTGAGAATCCATATACATATAACAATAAGGGAATAATAAATCCAGGTGGTGGAATGTTTTATGATCTTAAAATGTCTTTGAAGAGTGTTTAATGACATGGGGAGATGTTCTTGAAAAAAATTGCATCTATATAATTGCATTGATAATATATACTTCATCTATACAATAATCCAAATTATATAGTGTCTTTGTATATATAATGGACTGGGAAAATCTGATATGCTGTTATCCTTGTTCTAGTAAAGGAAGCTCTGTGGCATTTAGCTTCCATAATCTCAAAGAAAGCTTTTTATTTTCCTGATTTTTTAAAGCAATGCCAGTTGCCAGCTTAACCCTTCCAAATTGCTCTTCGCTTGTTGAAACCTGCATTGTGACCTCGTTTAGATGTCAGTATTCAGGATACTTGTGCTTCAAGATCCTAGGATGTAAGCAAATCAAAGGTATTGCTTATATTTTAGGTGATAAGTACATTTTAAGCAGCAGAGTTTCCTCCTTGTGTGTAAGTTAACTGTCAACATTATTTTCTGCCTGTAGCTTTTTCTTAATATCTAAGAATACTGTTTTCTTTGTTCCTAACTTTGCAGATTATAAGCACACCACAGAGACTAACCAGTTCAGGAAGTGTTCTGATTGGGAGTCCGTATACCCCTGCACCAGCAATGGTTACTCAGACACACATAGCAGAGGCTACTGGCTGGGTCCCAGGGTAAGAATGTTATAATTTACTATTTTTAAAAACTGTTGTTTTTTTTTTTTAAGTTCTGACCTTTTTTGTCACCATCTTGTCTTCTGTTCTTGTTTTATATTAATCTTAGAAAAACAAAACAGGTAAACCAGTTGCCATCAAGTCAGCTTTGATTCATGGTAACCCCGTGTGTGTCAGAGTAGAACTGTGCTCCATAGGGTTTTCAATAGCTTGGTTGTTATAAGTAGATTGCCAGGCTTTTCTTCCAATGCACCTCTGAGTGGACTTGAACCTCCAACCTTTTAGTTAGCAGCCGAGTGTGCTAACTGTTTGCACCACCCAGGGACTCCTAGGTTGGTCTAGTTCTTAATACCTTATGTGTTTTCTTTAAAATCACCTGTTTTATTTTACTTTACATTTTAGATATGAATCATCACTGGAGCAACCATTTTTAAATGAATAACAGTACAATAGCTTGTAACTGAATCTTCTGACTTTTTTCAACTCTGAAATAGGACTAGTTGCTATGATTACAACATTTAGCTGCTTTGGAGATATAAAAACTATATTTTGTATTGTTTTAATATACATAAGAAACACGTTAATTATTACTATAATCAGAATTTTCCCTGTGAATTATTATTTCCTTAAAAACCAAAAAAAAAACCTAGTTAAAACAAAGAGGCCAAATATATTAAAAACTCGTTGCTTTCCCTTGGTTCTTTTAAACACCGGACGATTAAGTCAGTTCCTTCTATATTAATTTGCAACTTTTAGTATCATAGTTTCATATTTTTCATCTTTGCCTGTAACTTACTCAACCATTCTTTGTGTCTTATAATTTTAGTGCTTTATCCTTCCATAAACTAATAAGAAGAAGAATTGTAAGATACACAGCTCAGAACCTCATTTTGTCTTCAATTTCAAGTTATTTCCATGGTGGCACATAGGGCTGGTAGTTTCGTTATTGACTTACGTGTTTGAGTTCTAGCAAGCGAACAATGTTAGTTGACTACGAATCTCCTTGCTTAAAGGATATCAGATGAATTAAGGAAATAACAAATTAATTAAGGAATCCTGGCAAAGTTCTTTAAACCATACACACACACGCGCGCGCGAGAGAGAGAGAGAGAGAGAGAGAAGAGGAGTCTGGTCTGTATACATACTTTTCCATTATCAAATGTGATGAAATGATAGGATCACCTATAATCCCATGACCTTTATTCAGTTCTTATAAAAATTCTCATGTACGTCTAGAAGATATATTTCAGCATAACCTTGAAAAATTAGGTGAGAGCTAAGCCTGTGCCAGTAGCGTTGGCCCAGAAGTTACAGGGTTTGGATATTTGCAGTCCTAGTTGTGCTATATATTGGGAGTTGCATGATTGTCCAGCATTTTTGTAATCAGTCATTCTACAGTGAATACAACTTTTCTCTCTTCTTTGAAAATTTGCAGTGTTTTCCTTTCTAAAGATTGATTGAGCTCATTTCAACTGTACTGTGTTGTGATTTCTTGGCCCCATGATAAAATTAAGTTTTTACTTTATGTATATGTCTCATTTGTTATTTTTATACATTCAGTGTGGAATTAGACAAGTTACAATAAATTATTAATGAAAGAAAGTTGTGTTTATATATGTGTTCTTTTTATGCTATCTTTTTTCTTTTTAGTGATAGAAAACGGGCTAGAGAATTTATAGACTCAGATTTTTCAGAAAGGTGAGTGTAAGTGTAAGTATTTTGTTGGGGAGATTCTAGTGTGTGGAGGGAGTTTGGTGCCCAGACTATATTCTAGTTTAAGTAATGAGATGTTTCCTTTCCTTAGTATATTAGGACTGTGATTCTCAATTCCAGATGTCCATCAGAATCACCTGTGGTCTGTTAAATAAAATATAAATGCCTACCAAGTTAGAAACCCCAGGGTTAAAAACTAACCACTTAGGATCATTATTTGAACCTAAGTTCAATACTCTTTGCAGGCCAGTATAATAGGAGCCATATTAATGTTGCACTATGTTAAAATAAGAATGGCATCTCAGAGGCAGTTGAACTCTCTGAGGTTGTCCCTAGTCTAAATAAAACCTGGCCAGCTATGCTTCTTAAGTTTATTTTTGATTCTAAGATTTTGCAATGTTTTTTTTTTTTAATGATGTTTTAATCTCCTTCCTCCTGTTAAGGTCATATGCTCTCAATAAAGTAGTTTTCTGTCTTTCATATTTTCTAATTTGCTATCTCTGACTTGCTGTGCACTGAGAAACTAGATGGCCAGGTGTGCTAGGATTGTGTCTAAAATAAGAGTGAATGGCCTCAGAATGAGGACCTTGGGAGTATAAATAAATAAAGAATGTATATTCTCTTGTATTGACACTACTGCTGCTTTAGTTCCTTGATGGCCTTTTTTCCTTGCTCCTTGGGTCTTAACTGTTTAGTCTTTTGAATGATAAAATCACACTAAGAAACTGATGTATCATACAGAAATATATGATAAAATATTCTTTTCTCTCTACTGGAAAGTTCTTTTTTAAACTCACTGGTATCTCTTTGCATTTATCCTTGGAAATGGCAGCAGTACACGTTCTTACAGACGTACTTAGCGATGTTCAAGGCCTCTGTTAAAATGGAACTCTTCTTAGGATTGGTGGCACCAATGTGCTACCAGTATAGAGAACATATAGGAAACAAAATTCTTTCTGTCTCTTTCATAAGAGAGCAAACTCTAAAAATCACATATAAAAAATGCTAGATTAAATTTGTTGATATAGCCACTGATTCAGCTTTCCCATTTGTATTTTGTTGGTATAAATTTGTTGGTATAACCACTGCATTTGGTTCAGTGGTTTTTTTCCTACTTCTTTTTATTATTCTCTGTTTATTTTCTAATACGTTTCTTTAAGGTGCCTTCCTCCTACCAAACCACAAAGATTGTTACATGTGATTTTCTTTATTCCTGTTCTAAATGAGCAAGATTTAGCACCGCAGTACTTCATTCTTCCCTTATGCTCATTTAACCTTAATATCTTTTTTTTTCCCCTATTGGAATATAGTTAAAACTCAGTTTATTTATATATACTACAACTAATGATTATCAAAATCAGTATAATTAATATTTGCATACTACTTCAGTGATATTTTTGAAGTCTTCCATTCTTTCAACAAATGTATTTTGAATATCTGCTAAGTGTTGGTGTGTTCCAGGTACTAGAGATAATAATAAACAAGATAGGTAAAGCTTTGCCCTTGAGCAGCTTGTATTTGTGGGGAAGATAATAAACAATTTGAGATTTTGATAGGTGCTGTGCAAGAAAACAAAAGGATAATATATAGAGAGTATTGGAAGGGTGGTAGCTGTTCCAGGGAATGACTCTCTAAGGAGGTGACATTTGAGTTGAGATTAAAGAATGTCAAGAAGCCAGGCAGGTGAATAGCCAGGAGTGGGGTGGGAGAAGCATTCCAGGCAGAGGGGATGGCAATGCAAAGGTCCTAAGTGAGAAATTAGCTTTATGTATTTAGAGTAGCATAGTGGACTGGAGATAGTGATGAAGGCAAAAGAGTGGTATGAGATGAAAATGGAGAGGCAGGCAAGGATCAGATCATAAAAGACCTTGTAGGGTCATCGTAGGGAATTTGATTTTTGTTTTAAGGAAGGTTTTTAAGCAGGGAAGTGACATAATCTAATTTACACTGGCTGCTGGGTGGATAAGAAGACAAGAGCGAAGCAGGGAAATCAGAAGGCTATTGTAGAGGGTAGTGACTTGGCAGTGGAGACGGAAAAAAGTGGATAAATTTTGGAGGTCGAACCAACAGGATTTAGTGATAAATTGAATGAAGGAAACAGGGAAATCAAGGATGGGTTTTGAGTTTTTTTGGTATGAACAGTTGGGTGATTGGTGATGCCATTACATTTATGGTAATTAGGAGTAAGTTTGGGAAGGAACTGAGTTTTGTTTTGGACATATGGAGTTTGAAAAGCTGTATTAGTTATCCAAGTGATGATGATATTAGCATAGAAATAGTATCATGGGCATGAGAATGGTCACAGGCCACAGGGAGGAAGATAGTGAAGATCCATAAGGAAAGAACATTTTTGTGTGTGTATTTCAGCTGCACTCCTACAGATACGTATGTTAAAAAAATAAATAAATCCTTGGAATTAGTTCAGAAGAATAATACAATATTTGATTGCTCTGTGATTTAATAAACAATATGCAGATTGAGGCAGCATTCTCTCCTGCAAGAAGAAAAACTTGCCTGGGGACTGGGGTTTTACAGAGGCTTAAACACAAGTTATATTATTTTGCTTAATGAATACAAGTTTCCATGGTGACGAAGTATTTAATGGTTATTGAGTTACATGAAAAAGTAACTCCTAAAAATCTGGCCTTTTACATATTTGTAGCTATGAGACCTCTTGAAATTAAAATTAAGGAAGCACATAGTCTTTTTCATTAAATCACCGAGTTAATGTATTTGTTATTGACTGCTCTCTTTAAGCCATTTTGAGTGAAAAACAAGCTAGCAAATCTTCAGGCAAGATTAGTTTTAGGTCAGGTATTTTTAGGCTCATTGTCTTAGTTATCTAGTACTGCTGTAAACAGAAATGCCACAAATGGATGGCTTTAATAAACAGAAACATATTTTCTTTCAGTTTTGGCAGCTAGAAGTTCTAATTCAGGGCGCTGGCTCTAGGGGAAGGCTTTCTCTCTCTGTCATCTCTGGGGGAAGGCCCCCTTGTGTCTTCAGCCTCTGTTTCCTAGTTCATTAGAGATCTCCATGTAACTTGGCATCTCTCTTACCCCGTCTCTACTTGCTCCCTTGCTTGTTTAATCTCTTTTATATCTCTAAAGAGATTGGCTCAAGACACACTCTACACTAATCCTGTCTCATTAACATAACAAAGACAATCCATTCCCAAATGGGATCATAACCACCGGCATAGAGGTTATGATTTACAACACATATTTTGGGGGGACACAGTTCAATCCACAACACTTGTGGGTAAGAGAAAACCTCTTTAAATCAAAGTAAAATGTCAATTTTTCACGTATGCTTATAGGAAAGTGATTTCTTTTGCAGTTTAAGTCAAGTTTAAATTTTATAAACGTGGCTAAATTACTTTGCTGGTTTAAACATTCTAGCTAAATCTCACTTTAATGAGAAATTAAATTTCTATTATATGTTATGTCGAATTTCTTATTTAAATGGAATACATTTATTATAACTTAGACCTGGGACTCTGTGTTATTATACTAGGAATTTTAGCATATATTAATTACTTCTGTAAATAATAATAAATTATCGTTGGGAAAATATACAGAGATGGTGGTTTGTGGGTTCTAGTTATATACCTGGCAAGATAAATATGTTTTCTTTAATTTTCAGTTGTAATTCTTCTGAATACTTCAAGTGAAATTATGAATAAAATGTAACATGCTTTTAAAACTATAATGTTTTGGTGGTTCTAATTTTCTCACTTATTCTTTAGTTTTCCAGTTTGGTTCTATTTGGTAAAGAATGCTTCCTACTGGTTCCTTTATTTGGTCTACAGACTAATAGAAATCATAGAGTTTATATCCTGAGGCCAAATTTTGGTGTTATTTTCAAAAAAAGATCTTATTGTTTCAAAGAGCTCAGGTTGTAAGACCATGTGTAAATCTGTTTATTTAAGATTTAGATAGGGAATCTCCCAACTCCTGAGATCCTATTGAAATTATAGTATAAAAATGTAATAAAATAGAGTAAATCTATAAAAGTGCTGTAAAAACAGTGGGGGCATAGATTTTCCAACTAGAAGATGAAAACTGGTATGATTATAATGAATGATAAGTCAGAACAGAGAAATCCACAGCCCAAATATGTATAAGAGAAGTCAGCATTGGACATGGGAGCCATTCTTCCCAGCACTGCCGTGAAGAGGTTCCAGGCTTAAGGTTGACAAGTATAAACAGCAAGAATAAACTGGTAGGGAGAATAATTAGGTTAAGTAAATAAAGACTTCCAAGGAGCAGTTGGGCCCACTGAATCTTCCCAGCCCTCCATATCCCCTTGGGCCTCCCGTCTCACCTCCACACCCATAGCAGTCGTACCACAAAATTTGACCCAAGGCTGAAACATGGAGAACTGATCTCCAAGGAATTGGATCTGCTTGCTTTGGGAGAATTTAAAGATCGTAGTCTGTCCCAGAACAAACCTTCCTTATACTGGCATTTGTAGTTCTGAGGAGGAAAGGGAGACTAGACTGCCTGCTTAATTAAGAGCCCTTCAGCCTGAAGTTAAGCCTGTCTTGAAAGAACAAGATATTTTTGGAAAACCGGATCACAAAAGACGAAGACCAAGGTGAACAAACAAAAGAGCTAACCCTAAAAAAAAAACAGGAATATTTCCAGTAGAAGAAAAGAAGAATAATACAACATTCTAATTATCACCATTTGAAAAGTCTGGAGGTTCCTAAGAAGAGATAATACCCATAAAACAAGAATAGCATCCTAGGAAAAATGAACAAAGGAGAAAAAAGTTCTCAGAAATTAAAACGTGATGGCTAAAGAAGTGTTCTCAAAATATTACAACATGATTAACAAAAAAAAAAAATTTAATGGAGTAACTTGCAGCAATCTAGTGTTCCTGCCAAGAATAGATAGGAAGGCTGAATAAAATACAGAAATCCTCTATTTATAAACATCAGAAAGCTACTGAGGCAATAAGGACTGGAGGGGCTGAGACTT